TGTTTCAAAGTCAGTTTCTGAATTAGCTCTGACGCAGCAGACGGTTTGCTGCCATATACCCCTTTCTGGTGATTTCAAGCTGCCCGGGCTGTACAGAGCGGCTTTAGAGCGTTGACGAATTTAGGATGACGATTTGCCGGTTTGCTGTGGTAAGTTTAGCTGTTTAAGTTAAGCTCAGATCTTGGCCAAGGCACAAAGTAACAGAAATTTGTGACTTACTGCCGCCCCTTTCCGCCCTGTCTGTCTTGACCATATTCTCGTTATCTCGGGACAAAACCCACATCTCTCAAATGGCGACCTCCACTGCTCTGTAGATTTATTCTCCCTAGACGGAGCAGGATTTCCAAGGCCATGTCTCCAGCTATGGCCAACCCCAGGGTTCGGAAGTTCAATCCGATCGCGTTCACACCCTTGCCAGTCACCTTGATCACAACCATCGTCTATCTTGCGGTTCTTATCCTGGTCTTGGTCACGTATCTTGTCGTTCCTCCCGCTCCGACTCTGGAAATGAGTCCTAGGGGTGTGAACCTTACAGAAGCTTGGAGGGATCTCCAGCATCTAACCGGAGGTTTTCACCCTTACAATAGTCGGAGAAACGACGACGTACACGCGTGGCTCCTCCATCGAATCGAGGCGATTGTTAGAGAGCATTCCGCCGCTGCTGACGACGTACCGGAAGTGTTTGTCTTTGATGATAATCTGTCCAATTTGACTTATTCTAACGGTGGAGTCAGCAAATCTCCTATCGTGGGAGTCTATTTTGAAAGCACGAATATTATCGTGTATATACGAGGGAGCGAAGATGATCCGCAGAATTGGTGGGAGTGGTCGAATGGAAAACCGAAGGGGAAAGGAGGGGTTCTGGTGAACGCACACTACGACAGCGTCTCAACGGGATACGGCGCCACTGATGATGGGATGGGGGTTGTGAGTCTGTTGCAACTTCTCAGATATTTCACGATCGCCGGCAACAAACCGCGGAAGGGCCTGGTATTGTTGTTCAACAACGGCGAAGAAGACTATTTGAACGGTGCCCGCGTATATAGTCAACACGCAATGTCAAATTTTACCCATACATTCTTGAACCTTGAAGGTGCCGGGGCTGGAGGACGAGCTTGCCTATTCCGAACCACGGATACGGAGGTTACCCGATTTTATAAGAACGCTAAACATCCATTCGGTTCCGTGCTTGCTGGCGACGGGTTTAAGTTGGGTCTTATTCGTAGCCAGACTGACTATGTTGTGTTCAATGGCGTTCTAGGGCTGCGAGGGCTGGATGTATCTTTCATTGCTCCCAGAAGCCGATATCACACAGACCAGGATGATGCCCGGCACACCAATGTTGATTCTCTGTGGCATATGCTCTCTGTTGCCATAGCGACCACAGAAGGACTCGTGTCATACACAGGAACTGATTTCGATAGCAAAACAACAGACCAAGACAAAGTAAACAGTGGCGATGGCACGCTTGGTGTCTGGTTTGACATTTTTGGATCCGCCTTCGCGGTTTTCCGTCTCCATACGCTATTCGCACTCTCTGTTACGCTGCTTGTTTCTGCCCCGTTGGTCCTGTTCATCACAAGCATCGCTCTATCGAAGACAGACAGAATGTACTTATTTTCGATGTCGAAGTCGCTGGGAGGTACTTCCGAAACTGTCTCTTTACGTGGCCTCCGTGGTCTATTTCGTACCCCTATCATATTAACCGTGACAACGGTCATTACCATCGGTTTGGCGTACTTGCTCGAGAAAATTAATCCTTATATTGTGCATAGCAGCCAATTTGCTGTGTGGAGCATGATGCTGTCTGTGTGGATATTTGTGGCTTGGTTCTTAGCCCGTGTCGCCGACTTTTTCAGACCCTCCGCTCTTCACAGAGCCTATAGCTATACGTGGATATTCATTGCGACATGGATCATGTTAGTTATTAGCACGGTCTATGCAAACCAAAAAGGCATTGCTGCCGGATATTTCATATTCTTCTATTTCGCTGCTGTGTTCCTAGCAACATGGGTGTCGTATCTAGAGCTCTTTTCTCTTCCACGAAAGGGATATTATGCTCACCAGACCAGCAGAGGTCAGAGACGGCGCTCAAGTAGCCTCAGCAGCAGGTTACTAACCCCTTCTGCTGATGAACTACCATCCGATATTGGCCCGAATGGGGCCGAAAACCTAGGAGATCCAGACGAGACCGACCCCACAGAATCCACCTCCCTGCTTCGAGGCCAGCGAACTACGTTTGCGAACTATCGAACTGGCGGTAATAGTGGTGTCACGGAATACACAGCAGAGGGTGAACATGTCCGAGAAGCCGGTATATTTGGACATGAACAGTCATGGAGCTGGACATTACCCAGGTGGACGTGGATATTGCAACTCCTTCTTCTAGCTCCCATTGTTATTATTCTCGTCGGACAAGTTGGTCTTCTCTTGACAACCGCAATGAGTCAGATCGGCTCAGATGGGGTTTCAACCTTCATTGTCTATTTAGCATGTGCCTTGTTATCTACTCTCCTCTTTGCTCCTTTGTTCCCCTTCATCCATCGATTCACGTACCATGTCCCGACATTTTTGTTACTCATCTTTATCGGTACTCTAATTTACAATTTGGTGGCATTTCCCTTCTCTCCTGCCAACCGTTTAAAGATATTCTTCATCCAGGAAGTCAATCTAGACGATGGCACAAACAAAGTTTCTCTCACCGGCATTCAACCATATCTTACAAATACAATCAACGCTATACCAAGCGCCGCTGGTCAAACTGCCAACTGCACCCAAGGTCCATTCGGTTCTCTCGTGAGGTGTTCCTGGAGTGGACCTCCCCCACGTGTTGTCAAAGAAGACCCTGGAAACGATCAGACCATGGGGCCATATACATGGATATCCTACAATATTACGAAAACGGTGGGCAAAAATGAAGCACGCATCAAGGTATCCGGCCGGAACACACGGGCCTGCAAACTTAAGTTCGACAACCCGGTCGCGGACTACCGCATCTCTGGCTCTGCAGTTGACCACCGGCTTCCGCACACTTCTCGTCAAGGTGTGGCAGAAATCAGACTATGGAGTCGAACCTGGGAGAATACTTGGGTTGTCGATGTGGACTGGCATTCTAATCCTGTGAAGCCGGGAGAATCCAAGGATGGTGACGAAAAACAAGACGTGTCCAAAAATGAATTGAGCGGTAAAGTCATATGTTTGTGGAGCGACAATAACGAGTCAGGTGTAATACCGGCGCTGGATGAAGTGCGGTTATATGCGCCTGCCTGGGTTGCCATTTCAAAATCAGCAGATGGTCTTGTTGAGGCCAGTCATGACTTCATCATTCAATGAAGATATTGATATGCTGGCGACAGGAGTTGATTCTTTTTCCTCTTGTCTTGGCCTTTTTCTGTCCGACACATACTGTGTATGTACATGTACATAATGCACGTTTTTGTTTCCATTATTTGCGTGTTGATATTACCACCAACCAAGGCTTTGGATTTCAAGCTCCTTGACCTGGACTTCAGTGATATCTTTTGTATTCATGCGTGAGATGCAATGTGGCAGCTGGTCGCTGCTATCATTGCCTCTCGCCACCCACAGCTCCCAAATCCACCTCTGTTTTCCTGGGTTTTAACCCATTATCGACTCTCTAATGGATAACTGGTAATTGTGGGTAATGTCAAGATCTGTTGATTGGGGAACCCACTTAGGTCTAGGAAGCCGGCGTTCGTATCTGTCAAACGCCTTGATTTTTCATTTGTTCAACCTGCTTAATGACTGTTTCTGGCAAACCGGTAAAAAGTCCGGCAAGGGAACTAGGAATAAGACCAATTTCCATCCGTCTCGTCCTGTTTCTCAGATTGGTTCATTGATAGGCATAGAGGCAGTTTTCGCACTTCCACGCACCAGCTTTCAACAACACATGTTGAGCTTGCATCTCGAAAATCACTGCCAATCATTTATCGATCAACATGAAATGGTTAGGCCCACCTCATCCATTAACACACAAATATGGTGTGTGGATCGCATCTATTCAATGCAGAAGATGTAATAGAGACCCTTATTGTGGTAAGTATTTAAAGTTATTTTCGATTGTTCTACCCAATGTGGTGTTCCGTTCTGAGTCAAGTTTCGTCTAAGAGTTTGAAAAGGCCTCCAAAACAGTGACTGGGAAGTCTACTTCCAAGTTTTCAATAGGGGCAAAGGTCCCTCCTATAGGGATAAATACTGTCCGATGACGACTTGCTTCCTGGCGTCTTAAAAGAGAAATGGATTTGCATACACTCGCATTTGAAAGAAACATCCGACTCTGGAAATGAAGGAATTTCATCTTTCACCTTCGGGTTGATGACAATTTCAAGCCAATGATAGGTTGCTCGTCCCATATCTCGTTTATATTAATTAGCTTTCAGAAAATGGAGCAGGTACACATGCCTAGACTGTCCCACAATGAGCTTTTTTAAAATGTTTCTTCCTGGTGAAGTATACTCCATCTTACTCTCTTTGTCTCCGTCCTCGAAGACATGTATTTCAGGAAAATTTCATGGAGATTCTGGTTCTTTATTTTTTTTTTTTTTTGTCTTGCTGGTGTCTTCCAATCAATGCATACAGGTGGCAGCAATTGGTTCTTTCATTATGAAGTCTTTTGGCTTTCACAAGATTTCGTCAGAGTAGACCTCAATCATTGCATGCATGATATCTATTCTATGAAGAATATATGAAGAGAGAAGAGATGTTCAGCATCCTTCATATTATCCATTGTAATGCGGAGCACCCTCTAAGGGGTATAGTCCAACGCCGAGAACTACCGTGAGGCTCAACACAGCTGCTGGTAATCTTGCTCGGCCTTTTTGGACTTCTCTTCTAAACTTTCTGCTAGCATACAGTACCCATCTCCTCTGTTTCTTTTGCCCGTTTCGTTTCAATCGTTTCCATCACTGTGGGAATGTGCTGCTTCATAGTTTGGAATCCATCGTACCGTCGCGTTGGCGAACCCCTGATCCACCATCAGAATGGAGATGCTCCATCCAAGACCTCATTATTTAACCGGTCACCTTCCCTCTCCGCGCATGCTTAATAGCGAGATCCTGAAATCTCCCGGTCCACAAATGGATCTACAAGAAGCCGTTTACACGCTGGCTGGTGCAGTGCTATTTGCCAAGCACTCTCAATTCGTCGAATCTCTGGAGGAACACTGTGACCTCCTTCGTCGTGGGGCTTCTCTCATCCCCCGTGCGCCTGTGTGGTTCAACATCGGATCCCTATGGGCCTTAGTAGGTGACATCCGTCGAGCGAAGGATGCCTACGAACTGAGCGTCAACGAGGATCGCGAATTCACCATCTCATGGTTTTACATAGGGATCTGTAACTTTCTCCTAAGGCAGTACGGCGAATCGGAGGATACGTTCCGCAAATGTTTGGCAACCTTCAAAATCTTTCGCTCTGTTAAATTCTTCGATGATTACAGTCTGGATTTCCTTCTTGCGAAGGATGATGTGATGTGGAATTGCAACGTTGCAAAACGATATTCAAAAATTCAGCGTGCACTAGGCGAACCAGAAACCAGCGGTCTGAAATTACGTCGCGACCACTTCAACCTATTTCTCGGGCCTCATAAAGACTCCTTCAAGATGGAGCGGGGGGTTTCGAAAACATGTGGAGCCAAATTTAGAGAGTCCTTCTCGTCGCTCCATCGTCCCGCTGCTAATCGAAAAAATTATTGCCTCAAGCCAGCAAATTATGCATATGTTGGCTTTCCGGAATTGCAAGAGAATGGCCCAAAAGTGGCTCTCAGAATTCCTGTCTCCGGGAGACCATCGACAGTTGGCTCTGAGCTCCAACTGGTACAGCCCATGGGTGACGATATGCTGCCATTGCAGGTTTTGCCTGTAATTCCGCGTAAAGGCGTCTCCGCAGCTCCAATTATTCCTTTCACAGAAGAAAACCATGAAAATCTGGTAGTGAAAGTGAATTCCTTTCCTCTCCCGCCCACCACTACTATACGGAGAAGGAGTCATACCCCCGTCCTCAGTTTCATGGCCGCACAGCCCGAAACTTGCAGAAAGTACCAGGGAAGAATCTCGACCAAGCATACCGAAAGAGAACGCACGGATACGCGAAGCAACGAAGGATTTCCATTACAATTGGCTCAAATCGCAAAATCAGCCACAACTGCCTTCAATGGAATACAGCGTCCGGCGAAAGGACGCCTTCCCCTGCCCACTTTTGTGTTTCCCTCATCGTCTCCACCATCATCCCCGGTAGTACAAGGAGGGCCACAGGCAGTGCACATCACACAACCATCTGCGGAATTGTCTAACAGTGATGACAGCAATGTCGTTAACGATGTTGCCCTCCCTATCCAACAGAGTACAGGCAACCGCTATTCCCATGGGCGCTACTACACAAATGCCCTAATGACATCGATTTCCACAAACGGCACCGAATCTGGTTCCAATAGCTACGCTGTGCAAACTAACGACGATGGAAACGAGACCACAGCTCTCACTACCGGTTCAAACAGCACCCTTGAAGCGCACCACAACAATGAACAAACTACCCACTCCGCCGTTGCTTCACCAAGAACATCATTATCACAAGAAACCTATTCAGTCATCTCTGATGACGCGAGCAGTGTGGCAACCATAGGAATACGATGTCCACCACCCCCTCGTCACCAGTTTCAAACTCAAACCATGTGCACCCGGGAAATCCACAGAATCCACAACTTCGGCGCCAGGTCTCCCAACGTATGTTGAATTTTCTCCCGGTTACTGAGTCTGGGGGTTAGCAAAGAGCAGCTGCCACCATGCTAGCGCAGTGAATGATATGCCAGGAAGGGGTGAAAAGTGAAATATCGATGGGGATAGTATTGAATGAATCGATTAATGTGTGCCAGTATTAGAGATGGGAGTGGAATCAGATTCGGAGCCGAAATTGCTCTTGGCTTCACGATCGGATATGCCCTGATTAATTAGCTTGAAGCGATCAGTGCTCGTGGGTAAGAGTTATTGATGTGGCTGGTGTTTCCGTTTGTTGTTTTTTTTTTTTTTTCCTCCCAAATTGGGTTTTGTTGCCTCTATCAATTTTATTTCTTTTTTTCAATTCGTTATTTCCTATGTCAATTTTCTCTTTTTACGGCAACCGGATACCTGAACTCGTTACGGATAACCTGTATGCATTATATTGCCCTAACATACAGTTGAAAAAATGAAGGACGACCAGACGGGCAGTCAGAGGGGATCTTCAGGAGATGCAAACAAATGTGGTAAGGGTTTAGTTTAACGCTTACGATATTTGCCCCCTTTTTATTTGTTTTATCCTAAGTTTATCAAATTCATAAACTTCATCATTTCTTCAATTAACCTCACATGGAATTCTTTCAAAAATCAAGGGTTAATCCACTATTCAACTGTTTATCTCATTAATGAAGAAGAGAAGAAAAAAAGTGAGAAATGGGGATTTTAAAATGGAAAAACGAAAGGGAATCATCATTCTCACCCAAAACCAGAAAGCAAAAGAGGGAAAACAGTTAACAAAAAACTAGAGAGTGGATATGGAAAACAGAATACACAAATAATAAAAAAGAGCAAACTCTATACAGCAAACAAGACTGTTCATTCCGGCATCTGTACCTTCTCCGCTCAGAAATAAATTGAATATGTTATCTGGTGAAGCAAAATAAGTATCAAACAGCAAATGAAGGGAGAAGCAAAAATATTAGCACAACTACACAGCACCTGTTCAGGAAAGGGAGAGAAAAAGACAAATAAGAAGGGAAACCGAAATAAGATCGCTCGTTTGCTAGTGTTGTGTTGTCGATTCGGCAGCTGACGTAGGTAGCCTGTGTCTCGAGCAATAATATTTGCAAAATGAAGGAATGGAACGGCCTCATGCAAAGTCCATGGTAAGATATGTAGAGGGAAAACCGACTTGATCTCCTTTTGTCCCGGTTTCTGCCGCTGCAGTCCCAGAGGAGTCTTCCTGCTGATAGAGGGTACCACGTCCCCGTAAGATACAGCTTCGCTAGATTGTGATTCATTGCGCCTTTTGCACTATGTGTCAATATATTTCGTGGTATGTGCAATGCTTTTGCAGTCGTTCCTGAATAAAGTTTGATGTCTTCCTCATGTGATCATGGCTGAGACTCTGAGAGAAATTGACAGCAAACGCAGCATGTACTGAGCCAGTAGCAATATTTGCATATCGAATCGATGATCCTTTAAAGGGGTAATCCCAACATACGCATCATCGGAGGACGGATGGACGATATACCTAGGGTGGTTAGATGATATATACTAACTCTCAGTCGAGTGGTGGCGTCGCGGTTACTCCATCGGCCATTTCATTGTCCTCCTCATCATTAATTACGGTGGCATGCATAAGGCCGGTCACTTGACCCTCCTCTTCATCTAACTCATCAGCATCATCATACATAGTTCCCTCCACAGTCTCTTGACGATAAGTGACCGCAGCACGGTTGAGAAAGTCACGCAAACGACTAACTCCTTCGCCGCTAAATACACAGAAAACATCACGCTGTTGTTGTGTGAATTCGACAGGGGCTTCACGGCAAAATGCTGTTAAGTCTTCTCGAAGAAATGCTTGCACGCCAGTAAGACTAAGATGGGTAAGACGTGGGCAGTTGTTGAGCAGGGAATGGATTCCCTAAATATAGGTTAGATTTTTCAGTGAAGTTCTCAGTTCTCGAAAAAGTGAAGGGGGTGCATAACGGTTAAGGAGGGTAGACATTAACTTACTTCCATAGTCAAGTGAATGCAATAGCTAAGATGTACTCGTTCCAGACAACTAGTTCCCGATGGGTGCTGAGACACTCTGGATTTTGCCAGTGCAAGAATACTGCGATCCGTGATTGACTGACACTTGACGAGACCAATCCGTCTCAGCTTCGGAAGAGTAGACAGTTGTTGAATACTTGTATCGGTCAATCGATTGCAGCATGCCAGATCAATATATCGGATACGGTTGCATGATTTAACCAGTTGAATGACAGCTGCATCGGTAATGTTGGAACAATGGCCAAGATGGACGTAGTGGATGTTTTTGCCCAGTTTGCAAATGGAAAACACAGAACGGTCTGTAATGAATCTACATTTTGCTAAAACCAGGTTTCTCAATCTTGGTGCAGAGTTGATGATTTTGTGTATGGCATCATCTCTGAGGTTTTCGCACGCTGTCAGGTCCAATATCCGGAGGCTGTCGAATATCAACCCATCGGGGAGATTAAGGAAAGCCAAGTTCTCGATTTCGACGCATTGTGCTAGGCGCAGCTCTCGAAGGTTCCGAAGTGTGGACAGTAGCGCAGTGACTGATGAACTTGTCACTTGTCTGCATCCATGAAGGTCGATCTCCAACATCGACGGGCAGTTGGCAGCAAAGGCTTGTATTGATCGATCGGTGACTTGGGTAACCCCATTTAATTTCAGCTAGATAATATCAGCAATTGTGTGACGGTATGTCTGGGGGTGGAGAAACGCGTACCCTCTTAATTTGACGACAACTTTTAGCAATAGCAATCAACGACTCGTCTGTCACCTTGACACAGCCAGTAATGTTCAATCCTTGAAGTCTCGGGCAGTTCTCGGCGACAATAAGCAGTGTATGATCTGTCAGAGACTTTAGCTCAGATACATCCAAAGCTTGGAGATGTTTGTTTCCTTCAACAAGATCAGAAACACCATTGTCCGTCAGCATCGAGCAGTTGGTCAAAGTGAGGCGTTCGATCCGTTTGCAGCTCGCGAAGGGGACAACAGATCCGTCAGAGATCTTGTTACTCAATGCGGACAAGTTTAACCGTTTAACCAGATCGTAGTAATGAAAATAGCTGTTCGTTTCTTTGAATACTTTTACCACCTTTTCCAGATTCTCCCAAGTATTACATGAGGGTCTATGCCACAGAATTCCTACGCAATTGACTGCCCAACTTCGAGAAACCTGCATGCAGCTCAGCATATCTGCGGGAGAGTTGAGTTTTGCGAATATGGAGATGAGAAGTTCAGGAGGCAAGCGTGAGATGGGGGGAAGAACGGCATTCTGGTTGGTTTTGACATTGAGGTCTCGAAAGGTTCCCATGCCCACAGAAGACTCTGAGTCGTTCGCCAAGTGCATGAAGAAATCAGTATCGTCATCCGCAGCACGCTCCGGAGAAGTGGAATTCGAAGATTCCGAGGGAGTTTCATCTCCAGAAACCCGCAGAGGGGCTCGAGAACGAAGCATTTCAACGGCTCCAAACTGGCGTGAAGGGAAATGGAATTTCGTCGACCCAAGGTACTCTTCTCCTCTCAGTTATGCAGCATGTAGTACACCGTTTCAGGATAACGACCTAAACAGGGTCTCTAATACCCAACGATAGACAAAGGGAGTAGCGAAGAGGCGTGCGCAGTGTGGCGAGGGCTGCGGGGTGCGAGTGGAACCCAACAACAAGCTGGGGAGGTGTAACTCTGTAAGCGGTAACTAGTGCGCTGTCAAAGCAGCAGAGGACAAACTATAGAAACCGCAGGCAGCAGGCACTCCTCGGGGTTGTATCACAGGTGAGCTGCATACGCAAGGGCGAGTCGAGGGAGAACAAAACAACTTTCGGAGCAGAATTGTTGGTGAAGTAGGAGGAGGGATGTGGGTTGTGAGGCGTAGGTAGACCGGCTGGGCGCGAAACAAAAGGAAGGCGAGAGAGACAAAGAGTTCGAGAGTTCGAGAGACCTGGAGAGTAAGATCATTAAGCTCGTGAGGCAAGCAGTGAATGTTGAAGGCAATAGATTGACAGTGGAGGATGTTTTTATTTTATTTTTATTTTACTTTTGGCCTGGCGCTTGCAGCGATAACTGGGAGTTAGAGGTTATGGTGGAGAGGACGAACTCTACAAGACTGGTTTGCTCAATAAGCCGCAAGTCAGCAACCAATGGCGCAGCAGCCAAGGCGGGAGAGCTGGGGACGAAATGCTGCAAGCAAGGAAAAGTGGAGAGCGTAGTAATTAGTATTTATGTCATGGCTAAATGAAAGGGAAAAGGAAAGGGAAAAATACCCTATAACTGCACCTGTACACCTGTTTAGCTCAGCAATGGTTCATCGAAGTGCAATGTTGTTGTTGTTGTTGTTGTTGTTGTTGTTGTTGTTGTTGTTGTTGTTGTTGTTGTTGTTGTTGTTGTTGTTGTTGTTGTTGTTGTGAGGTTGATATTTCAATAACTATGCAAAACAGGCGACCTTGGATGATATCGACGGAACCAGCTCGAACGACCAACAGCCTTGGGTCTTTGCCCCGTGTGGAATCCCCTCACGCGCTGCCAGACTCACAAGGTCTGATGGAAAACAAATGACCAGGCTTGCGCTCTAGTGCGGTCATTCACCAGAGGCCATGTATATTATTATCATTCATCCCTGGATAGCGGCAGAAGCAGAGGTCAAATATATAGTTAAAGTTACACTAAGTTGGTTAAATATTTACCTTGGACAAGACACTATGATGCATTGTATCCACAGAATCCCAATCAACCTGACAGATCCATACAGCTTCGTATAAGGCTATTATTATGTAGGACTTCACGGGATACCTAGTATCTACAAAGGGGAATGGAAAATGGATCTTTATTAAGGCCTTACTGGTATGATTAGTTCTCTATCTTGCAGCTGAATATTCCTAATTCCAAGGTTGATATCGCGCTAAGATACATACATACATACATACATACATATATATATATATATATATATAATAAAATAAAAATTAAAAAATTAAAAAATAAAC